GGAAAGACTCATTCTTTTTCATAAACTCTGACATGCTTTCTCCTCTCCCTATGCTCACAATGGCAATTTTAAGCTGCTTTTTTTTTTTTCCCCCCAATAAAAAAGGCTTTCATGGCAGACCACCATTCCATTGTTATTCTTTATAGCTGTGAGATCAGCGATGCCAGATTTTTATCAGAAGATGAAGAATTCTCTGCGCACTGAGGCCCAGGGAGCTGATACTGTTATATGGTTGGCGGTATCACCTGAAGCAACAAAGTTACCAAGTGGCTTGTTCTTCCAAGGTAAGGCAGCAGTGTCTGACACTGTGTAGCAGTGGAGATTCCTAAGGTGCCTGAACTGTAGGACTGGCCTGGAAGGGGATGAAGGCGTGACCAGGCAACCCTTTTCGAAGGCTAAAGTGTATATTAAAACTGTTCCAAGGCTAGAGGTTCAAGTGAGCATTGTGCAACCAGAGAACAACCATGTTATGTTACTGCTTTTGTCCTCTAAAGTAGCTGATAGAGACTTCAAAGCATTTCTTTAGGGAGGGTTGTTTGTGGTTTTTTAATAAAAATGGCTGTGTGCAGAACTGTGCCAAGGGATAGTGAATCACAGCAGTCACACAGCATCCTTTATGATACTGGGAAACTAGAATCCTTCTCACTGAGCACTGAGGGTTGACTTTGCTTTGACAGGCTCTACTCCCTACTGTTCCATGCTAGTTAAAACTTCCAACTCCTCCTTTCTCTAACAGTGGGCAGACACTTACAGTGACATTTTTGGCACTGTAGGCATAGGGAGTGAAAAAATGGGGCAGAGCCTTTCTTTTCTCTGAGACAGGCATCTTAGTAGGAGCACCTGGCAGCACAGATGTCTTAATGGTGGTGCAGGTCAGGCCTGTAGGAGAAAGGAAAAGCTCAGGGTAATTGCTTACAGGAGCCCAGTACTTCTCTTGGATGTGGCACTCAAATCCTGAGCCACTGAATTTCTGGTACAGCATGCAGGAAGTTCAGACTTTTCTGGAATTGAGTTGACTTTGTTCCTTCTCTCCCCTCCCAGACAGTCACACAGGGTTGATTGACAGGTATTTAACCAGATCTCTTTCATGCCATCCTGCAGTGCATGCAGAAACCCTGTATCCCAGCTGGTCAGTCATCTTTGTAGAACAGGCTTTGTCTTTTGTACTCCTGTCACTTTCTTCTGTTCCTAATGCTTCTGCTCAGTTGTTCTTCCTCTAGATCCTAACTCCACCAGGCTCTTGCCTTTGGCTTTTGTCTATCCCCAGAGTTAGTAAACAGGGAAATGCTCTTACTCTTTAGCTATAGACAAATACTTTTGAGAGCTTTGGTCTTGGCATGACTGCTTTTAAGGCTGCAAGAGAAGTCTTGTGTCTATGTCCCATGCTTACCAAATTGTGATAGTCAGTGATTTGTCTCTTCTGCTGCCCTTTGGTAGTCACAACTTAGTAGGGCCCTCTTCAGGCTCTTTCAGTAGGGGGATTTGTGTTCAGAAGTACTTTACTACAAACCCTGCTCTCCTGGTCCTAGATGGAGAGAAAGTGTGACCGAAACAGGAAATGCCATTTCCTCCATTCTCTTTTAATCTGTTCCCTTTGAGTGCAAAGGACAGCCAGCATTTATTTTTTTTCCTTAGGAAGAAAATTGGGAAGAACATGACTTGTACAACCAGAACTCTCTGCATCTGCCAAAATAAATTTTAAAAAATGTTTGTCAGAGTCCTGCTTTACAACGACTAGAAGCATCTTCTCTGTGATGCTAAACTTGACTTTCACACAGAGTTCCCAAACTCAGTCACAAGCTACTAGAAGCTTGACAGTTAGATAGGAAGCAGTTCATACCCACTGATGGAGAAGGGAATGTTCCTCTGCATGTTTCTGTCTCCTCAGTTTTCCATTAGCAGAGGTTATGTTGTGTGTGCAACCAGTTACAACATTTGCTCTTAAGAGAGGAAACATCTCTGTTCCCCTGGGAAGCCTGATGGCAGCCTGATAGGTTTGCAGAGAAATCTGCTGCCCAGTGTTGCAACAGCTTGTTCTTTTAGTCTCAGCTGGCTGCCACCAAAGTTGGACTTACTGAAATAGAGTCACAGTGCTGCACCAGTGCTCTGATGTTGCTTCATAGACATCTGAGAGCACTGTCATCAGGTTCCCAGGCTCTAGATGTCATGTGTTTGGAGAGAAAGATCCCTTAGAATGGATGGTGATACAGCTATATTTATACAGAGTGAGTGAGGAGTATGAGATCTGGAAAAGCAATTAAAGCATAAATTGAGCAAATTTTTTTTTTTTGGTCAAATGATCAAACAGATACATGTTACTTATAGTGATTGAGCAATGAGCCTAAGTTCTTTAGCAATTACAATTTAACCATTATTTTTAAGGATGAAAGTAAGCATTTAAGGATATAATCCAAACTACAAAGTCCCAGCTGGGGAATTTGCATAGCACTAGACATTATCCAAGAGGCAAGGAAAAACCATGTCTCATGCTGAAAAAGCAACCTCTGCCTGCACCAATAATCTCAAGTTATTGTTCTTTGTCTACAGGAGTTATACTAGAGACAGTGAGCAGGTGTAAGCCCTCCAGCAAGGCCTGCCTTTATCTACTCTGCCCCTAGCTGCAAGTAACATCTCTTGCTACTCAGTCTTAAGTCATGCTGTGCAAAAGGACAGTCATTCTAGTTTCAAAAATTAAATCAAATTAGTTTAATTTCTGGTTTGGAAGATATGCTTGACTAACATAATTTACAGAAACCTTAAAGGTAAGTTTCCTGGCTTCAAGCCCATGAGGTATGTTTGGGAAATATATTGTCTAGCAGAAAAAAATATTTTGTGCTAGAAGAGGCTGTTACATCATAGAATTATCTCAATTTGGAAGGGACTCGTAAGGATCATTGAGTCCAACTCCCATAATGTATCCATAAGGATTTAAATTTATTTATTTATTTTCTTCCAGACAGGCAACCAGTTGCTACACACTTACCCCTGGCACGCACCCACAGTCCACCAGAAGATGAGGAGAAGCTAATGGAGATGCTGGAAGAATTCTCCCAGAAGTTTAAATCCGCTTCTCCAGGAACTTAGTGTGGCTGCTGACACAGTGTAACCACAATGCTTGTAATTGCACAAGCAGTACTGTAGTGTGCCTGCTGCTGAGGGGAGGTAGGATGCCCTAGGCCTGTCCAAAATAAATTGTCTTCAGGTGTTCTCATCAGGGGGGAGAGTGCTGCCTGCAACTTTTTTTCTGCTGCTGAGAGTCTCTCCCATTATGAATATGCACCTGTTGTCTCAAGGCACAGTAAGGCTGTGT